GCTGGGTCCTACTGCCAGAGTGGCCTGTCGAGGTGGGGGGGGGACCCCCACTTGCTGGGCTGGGGGTCTGTGAGGCTGGGGTGGGGCTGGTAGGCAAAAAGGCCTCTCCTAGGGGGCTCCCTTCAGGGGCCCTGTGGTGCTGGCGAGAGCAGGGGTGACCAGTCTCATTTGGGACACGGCCCCTTGACTGTCGCACCGAGGCCGTGGACCCTTTTCCCGCCCACAGAATGTCTTGGGCACTCCTGGGGAGTCACTGGGCCCAGGAAGCCGCCCAAGGCAGCTCAGGGGAGTTTGCGCAGCTCTTTGCCTCCACGGTCCCCAGCCCCGTCCTCCACGGCAGCTCCCGGGGAGCCCTGCAGCCCGAGGGCCTGCGCTGGGACTCAGGGCCTGTCCCCCGGCCCCAGCTCTCTTCTCCAGCCCAGCCAAGGCAGACGACGATGGAGGGAAAGAGCCAGGGACCGGCGAGTCTGGGGAGGATGAGGAGGAGGACGAGGAAGAAGAGGAGGAGGAGGAGGAGGAGTTCAAGCCTTCGGACGGGAGTGAGAATGAAATGGAGACGGAGATGCTGGACTACGTGTGATGTGGGCCACCCCCCCACCAGGCAGCGCTGGCCACGGATCCCCCTGGGCCCATGGTCGCTGGGACGGCCCGTGCATCCCCTCCGAGGAGAGCTGGGACCCCAGCACTGGGTGCAGCTGGCCCTGGTCCTGCCTGGCCTGCTGCTCAGGGCTGCCCCCGGCCCTGGCTGCTGGGGACACTCCCAAAGGCTATGCCCTGGCTTCCCTGTCCACGAGCCAGCCCAGGGTCCTGCGGGTTGGGACCTGCAAGGGCTGCAGGTAGAGATGCACTGTGGGTAGGGGTGGGGGGTCAGGCCTGGCCTGGGTCTCAGGATGACTGCGGGGTGGTGGGGGAGCCTGGCCCAGAGCTGCAGGTGGTGGGAGGCGTCCTTGGGTCTGGGTCCACCCTCTTGGGGCGGCCGGGCAATGACTGGGCCACTGGAACCGCCCTCATTAAAGACCTCTCCCCAGACACTGGACTGGGTGTTGGAGCTCGTGCCGGGACCCGGGCTCCCGCTGGTGAGCGAGGTCCACCCTTCCGTCAGGCTCGGTGACCCCACAGGGGCAGCACTGGGACCGTCAAGAACAGTTCTGATGCTCCTCGCCAGGTGGGTGGGGTGAGAGCCTCTAGAAGTGGCCTGGTGGCCCCAGCCCCGTCCCCAAGGGTCCCACAGCCTCGTGTTCATCCCTCACCGTGCCAGTGTCCTCGGAGGTCCCCGGGGACACAGCCTGTGTCCTCGCACAGCTGCCCAGTGCTGGCCGCCGCAGCGAGGGGCCCAGGAGCCCTCCTGGGAGAGAGCGGGAGCCCCGGGCCCGCGGTGCTGGGCGCGGCCTTGTAGAGCCGGCCAGAAGCAGCCCCCAAAGGCTGGCGGCCCCAGGCCCGGTGCTTCCGTCGAAGGCCTCCGCTCTCCACTGTGCGTCTCTGAAGGGCTCCCCACTTCTGAGCTGTGCCCCGAACCTCAGAGCGAGGGGATGTGGGTCCTGGTCCCCGCCTCCCGAGAGCCACCGTGGTCCCTGTGCAAGCCTGAGGAGGGCGGGGCCTCCCTGCACCCCCTCTGCCACCTCACATGGGGTGCGTGGTGACCCTCTGTCAGAGTCCTAGGTATTGTGCTTACACGCCCGTTTTTTAAAAGGCTCTTTGTTGTGGAAAACGCTGGATGGCTGCAGAAACACTGAGTGTTGTACAGCTTCCCAGTGCCAGGCCCCAGCGGTCACTGTTTTATCAGACTGTCGCCTCTGTTCCTCAGTGTTGGGGTCGCATTCTTGTCTTCCTGGAACTCTCTTAAGGAGAGGTGCCAGCCCTCGGGAGGGACCCAGCACGCCAGCGCTGCCACCACACCCAATGCTCTGGCAGCCGTTCAGGGTCAAGGCCCCTTCCCAGGGGCACGGCCTTGACCGACAGTGTGGGTGTCCCTCAGCGTCGCTGCACTGGAGCCTCCAGCCGCTGTGATGGTTGCCGGGACCACCTCTTCCTCGGGCTGCGAAGGAGCGACTCCCAGTGTGTGGCCCCTGCGCCCACTAGCTGGACTCCCAGGAGGGATTCTTCCCCCAGCACCTCAGGGTGTCGGGCTGCCCCGGAGCCACAAGGGCGGGTGCAGCAGGGAATGGCCTGTCCCTCCTCGGTCAGCTTTCAGGGAGAGGGCCTGGCGCCCCGGCAACAGCCGGTGGTGGCCACGGGCTTTTTTCTTTTTGTTTTGTAATGAACTCTTAAATCTGTTTCAGACGATTGTAGTCCTGCTTTTTGATGCCTGTCTTGTCCCTTCTGTGGCCTTAGGTGGCCCCAGGTTGCCTCCTTTGACACACACTCCAGTTCTTTGTGCCCTTTCGCTCCCCGGCCTGCCCACTGCCCGGCTCGCCTGGCCCCTTGGCCGCTGTGGGATGGTGTTCAGGGGCCCCAGTCTGGGCCCTGGGGGGCTGCCGCTCCTGAGTTTTTTTCTAGTGCTTCTGAACCCACAGAGCTAGGAAGTACATCTTTTTTCCCCAACAAACAGTAAAGGGTGAGTTTATACAGATAGTTCCCGATTAAAAAGTAAAATGATAGGGTTTTACTTCTTGCGTAGACAGGCTGGGGCAGAACTAGGTGTGCAGTTGTTGGCATGGGAAATGACACAGTCACTAAACAACACACGAGTAAACTCGGTGTCTCCTGCACTCACCATGGCACTCGTGGCGCCGGGCAGGACCTGCGTCCGTCCACCGCAGTGGCTGCCTCCTGTGACGTCAGCACAGGTGTGTTTGCCCACACACGGTGCGCTCCAAGCCGGGGAGACTGTTGAAGTGTGTGCCTGGGTTCTGTGTGCCGTCAAGTCAGCAGGGTGAGGGTCCCGCCTTGTCAGCCGTGTCCATTCACGCTTCACTCCCCATCACCCAAATTGTCTCAGACTTTTGGGGAACCCATAGACCCTCCAAGCGTCCAATACTAGCCATGGAGTCTTCCCACAGGAAAATGCAAACCCACGAATGCATGCATCCAGTTCCAGAGGCACCGCGAGTCTGTCCTTGAACTTGCTGGCAGGTCCATGGGCTGAGGTTCAAAACTCCCATCACCTCACGCTGTTTCCCGGTTAACCGTTAGTCTCGTTGACTAGTAAACAAAAGTAGAGTAAAAACATCTCTATATTATGTGTTGATAACCCAGAAGACAAATGTTTCTATGAAATCAACAATACGTGACCCTGAAAAACACTCGGGTTAGTTTCTATACTTAGGGAGCTTGAGGAATCCTCAGTTCACGTAAGTGCGCATTCCGCTCTGAGCCGACTGGACTGGAGCTCCCTAAGGGGTTTTATACATGAACTTGGTAACGGCATCGGAAGTGGGAAAGTATCACATGCATATAACAGACATGCCTGCATGTGCCAGGTGAGGTTACCTGTCTGCCAGTGTTTGTGCAGCAGGTTTTTAAGACTTTACTGCAGTATTTCATCTCAGAGGCCGTGGACCGGACAATGCTAGTCTCCTCTGGAAGTTTTTTGGGAGTGCTCACCCTGTTTGTTGTTAGCCATTTTGTGCGGGACCCTGTGGGACCCTTATTGTTAAATAAGTGAGCACCCCGAATCGTTCAAATGTGGGGCTCTGCCCCTTTCCTCCTACAAAGAACACAGCACTGACTGTCCCCTGAGCACATGGGCCCCGTCCCTCATACTCAGTATCAGAACAGGTTCTCAGAATCGCAACAGCCGGGAAGAAAGCGCGGTAGGCCACGCGCTTCCTCGCCCACGCAGCACCCCTCACACCCTCTGCCGCCCAGCTCCTGCTTCCCGCCGTCCTGACTCCTCCCCACCCACGTCCCACAGCTCAAGGCGCTGCACCGGGTGGGCAGACAGACCCGATTTGTGTAGATCCCTGTGGGTCCCCGGGGCTGTACCCACAGGCGTGACCTCAGCGGGACTGCAGCTTTTGTTAAGAGCACCAGCTCCCAGGCAGCAAGGAGGCTGTCAGCCCGGGAGGACTGGGGCTGTCCCTTGGCTCCTGGCCACACCCCCTCACTGGGCATAGTCTGAGGCCAGACCCCTCACAGGCCAGAGCTTCGCCTTTGTCTGTGTGGGTCTCTCGGTCTTAGACAGCCTTCTTCGGTCGCCAGTCCGATGCGCTCCCTGAGGCGCAGCTGCGGGCTCTGGCTGCTGCTTCACACTCTGCTCAGTCTTCCCATCCCCCCGGCTCCGTCTTTGTCACCCTCTGCCGTCTGTTTCTCTCTCTGGGATGCCCAAGCCCTTCCTTCTTCTCCAGGAAGCCCACCAGGCTGGGCTGTGGCCCCCTTTCCTCGATGCCTATGCCCATCTGAGCCCCTCGTCTGGCCCTCCTAGGCCTGCTCACGCCGAGTGTGAGGTCTTCCCCACACCCCGAGGGCAGGGTCCCCACGCCCAGAGGCGCACACCAGTGGGCCCTGGGAACAAGGCCCAGTGACACGTGCTGCCCAGTAGCACACAGCACCTCGGTCCTGGAAGTCACATGCCCAATCCCCTATAAACATCCTTTGCTGAACTCGGGGGGGTTGGGGCAGGGGTTCAAGCAGGGCATGGAGACAAATCATGCCCCCTCCTCTGAGGATGGCACCGGGCCCTTGTGGATGAGCCAGAACGCAGGGCGCTGTGCACCCAGACAGGCCCCGCCCCTGCAGCCCCGCCCTTGCAGCCCTGCCCTGTGCCACCTGCACCTGTTCCCAGCAACTGCCCAGGCCCCAGGTCCCTGGTGGCAGCCGCCCTTGCACCTGCACAGGTGTGTGAGTGTGTGTGCACAGGCACTTGTGTGACCTTGGCCCAGCCTGGAAACGGCATCTGTCTCTGGCCCTGGGCGCACTGCCTGGAGTGTGGCCTTGAGGAAGGGGCAGAAGTAGGAGGAGGGAACAGGACCCTCCACGGGCAGCTGCCAGTGCAGGCTCCCCGCTGGCTCCGGCCCCATAAATACCCGTGGGCTGGAGGCAGGGCCACCCGGAGGCAGGCACACACCATGGGGCACCTGCAGCTGCTGGTTTGGGGCTTCACCTGCTGCCTGGCAGCGGTGAGCTCGGCGAAGGTGAGCGAGAGCCCAGCAGAGGAGGCAGGCCTCTGTCCTCCGCCGCACAGATCTGGGGACTGGGGACGGCAGAGTGGAGGGAAGACAGACAGATGAGTCCCTGGCAGAAAGAGGCGCCAGCCCCCAGAGAGAGAGCCAGCAGCTCTCCCAGGGGCTGGTCCTGGCCACGTTCTTGTTCGCATGGTGACCCTGGCACAGACCAAATACAGGACGCCAGGTTAAGTTGGGTTTCACAAACCACGCAGTTTGGGGTATAGATGTGCCCACACAGCATGCAGGGTACGCGCATGCTAAAAAAAATTCATTGTTTGTCTGAAATGCAGGACAGCCTTGTCCCCTCCAGGGCGAGGGGAGGAGCCAGCCCGGTGTGAGGACTGGACACGCAGTGGGGGTTCTAACGGCTGGGGGAGGGGGAGGAGAAAGAAGGGCCCCCACTGAGGGAGCTCACAGCCAGGCACGAGGCATCTCCCGCTGCCGGCACCTACACCAGGTAACAGGCCCTAGGGGACACAGCTGTCACCCATCTTACAGATGGGGAAACTGAGGCTCACGGTCACAGCTAGGCCAGAATCCAAACCTCCACTCGTGTCAGAAGGCTTCCCCAAGTGGGAGCACAGTGGTCGAAGCAGCTTCCTCTGAGATTCCAGGGCAGGACACCCCGGGCCGGGGGGACGGCAGCAAGCTGCTCCTTTGGGAGTGAGGGCGACTGGGGGTCTTGGTCTCAGGTGCACATCAGCCCCTCCTTGAGGCTGTCTCTGGGCCCCCGGGCCCTGCTGAGCCTGCCCGCCTCCCACCCCAGCTGGGCGCCGTGTACACGGAAGGGGGTTTCGTGGAAGGCGTCAACAAGAAGCTCGGCCTTTTTGGCAACTACGTGGACATCTTCAAGGGCATCCCCTTCGCTGCTGCCCCCAAGCCCCTGGAGAACCCCCAGCCACACCCCGGCTGGCAAGGTGCGAGTGGGTGTGTGCTGGGCAGGCCCTGCGACAGGGGTGCGTGTGCTGGGGACTCCTCCTCATGCCAGCCCCTCCGGCCCCCCCGCAGGGACCCTGAAGGCCAAAAAATTCAAGAAACGATGCCTGCAGGCCACCATCACCCAGGATAACACCTACGGCTCTGAGGACTGCCTCTACCTCAACATCTGGGTCCCCCAGGGCAAGAAGGAAGGTGTGCCTGCCCCCAGCCCTGCAGGGGGCGCCCGGGCAGCCAGAGCCCCCAGCCCTGCCCCTCGGTCATGTCTGGGGCTCCGGAGCCAAACCTCCCTGAGACCGGCACCCAGAGGGGAGGGCGACCAGGGGGCACCTGGGGTCACCGGGCCCGCTTTCCTGCCTCAGTGTCTCGGGACCTGCCTGTCATGGTCTGGATCTACGGGGGCGCCTTCCTCATCGGGTCCGGCCAAGGGGCCCACGTCCTCAAAAACTACCTGTACGACGGCCAGGAGATCGCCACCCGGGGCAACGTCATCGTGGTCACCTTCAACTACCGAGTTGGGCCCCTGGGCTTCCTCAGCACCGGGGACTCCAACCTGCCAGGTCCGCTGGGTGCCTCGGGCATGGGGACGGGTCGGGGGGAGCCTAGTGGGGACGCCCCTCAGCATCCCTTGACCCCAAACGTCCCCTGACAGGCCCCCTGGAAGGCCCAGAATTCAATTGCAGGGCCAGAAGCTAGAGATGGACTGTGAGACACAGCAGTTCCTGGGCAGCTGCAGTGAAAGAGGAAAGGCTGCCGACAGACAGACAGACAGACAGAGACCCAGAGAGGGACCCGGGTGGGGACAGGGAGCCGTGGGAAAGAGACAGAAGATGAGACGCGGAGGTGGTGTCTTGGGGGGACAGACGAGAGGGGCCACGACCTCCTGCTCCTCGGCGTCTGCCCGAACCCCTGCGCCCTCTCCAGGGCCCATCCCGTCTGCCTCCTGGGACCCGCCCTCCTCCCACTGCAGTCCCCGCCCCAGGCCCCTGACGCAGGCCTCACCCCACCTGCCCAGGTAACTACGGCCTTCGAGATCAGCACATGGCCATCGCGTGGGTGAAGAGGAACATCGCGGCCTTTGGGGGGGACCCCGACAACATCACCATCTTTGGGGAATCCGCCGGAGGTGCCAGCGTCTCTCTGCAGGTCTGGGGACCTCAGGAGGGGCGGGCCTACCTCCAAGGGGGTTGGAGGGAGCCCATGGGGGGGGGGGCGGGGTGGGGGGGGGCTGGAGCTGACATCCTGGCCGTCCTTGGTGGAGGAGTCCAGAGTGGGCGGTGCAGCGGGCCAGGGTGACGGCGTCTCTGTGTGTCGCAGACCCTCTCTCCCTACAACAAGGGTCTCATTCGGCGAGCCATCAGCCAGAGCGGCGTGGCACTGAGCCCCTGGTCCATCCAGAAGAACCCTCTCTTCTGGGCCAAAACGGTAAAGAGGAGCTTTGGCGTGTGTGTGGGGGGGGGGGGGCACGGCATAGAAGGGTGGGGGCGGAGCAGGGGGCGGGAGTTCCTCCCTCCTACTCTCTGTCCCACCTCCCCATCACCGCAGAGCTGGCCTCACCTGCCCGCCCCCATCCCCAGATTGCCAAGAAGGTGGGCTGCCCCACGAACGACACAGCCAGGATGGCCAAGTGTCTGAAGGTCACCGACCCCCGCGCCCTGACGATGGCCTATAAGGTGCCCCTGGCAGGCATGGACTGTGAGTGGGGGCTCACGGGGGGGGGGGGGGGGGGCCTGCTCCTGCAGAGAACAGGAAGTGCTGCAGGTCTCAGGGCCCCAGGCCAGGCCCTGTCACCTGCCCGCTGGCGTCCCAAAGCCCTGTGGAGCCTCAGGGCCCCAGGGGCTGCCAGGAGGGGGCGACTCTTTCCTCTTAGCCTCCTCGAGGGTCCTGACCCCTTTGAGAAGCCGATGAACATTTGTCCTCCCCCCAAGAATGCACACGCACACCGTCCCTGACACACAATTTAAGGACCGAGGACCGAGAGCCTTCATCCTTGATGACAGTCCATTCTTCACCCCTGCCCCTGCTCCCCAACTAGGCAAACACCGCCAAACACCTACGGCAGCGTCTGGCCCGCCCGGCTCTGCCACTCTGTCCCCCAGGGGCGCTGAAGGTCCCTGTCTAAAACAGCCTCGGAGCATCGGCCTCATCAGCCCAGTAGGCTAGAATTCTCTCTTACTCCTTCTAAGGCCAAGTTCAGGGGGCCCCTCGTCTGTGTCTCACTAAGCCACAGGTGAGCACCAGGCAGGCAGAACCAAAGCAAACAACAGGGGCTGAAGGGCAAACCGACCATTTCCTCGATGGAAGGCCAGCACGTCTGCCTGCCCAGAGTCAGCCCCGCGGTCCCTTCGGGGTTGGTCCAGGGGTCTGCAGGGCAATGCAGACCCGGCACAGTGTCTGGCTAACAGACTAGAAGAGAGCCCTGCTTCCTCCATCGGCCCCTCAACTGCTCTCGGTCTCTCTCCTCCTGATTTCGGCCCAGGGAGGGGACAGGGACTTCCCTGCTGCCAGGGGGACAGACGTGGCTGCTGGTCCAGTGCTTCTCGGTCTGGGCGAGTTTGTCCCCCGGGGTCATGTGGCCGAGTCTGGAGACAGTTTGGGCTGTCACACTGGGGAGGGGTGCTGCGGGCACCCAGCGGCTGGGGCCAGGGATGCCATGCTGCTCAACACCTGAGGGACGGCCCCCCACCTAGAATTATCCTGTCCGTTGTCCGAGCGATGGGCTGAGGCCCCCGGTCTTGAACGGAGGCGGAGGGAAGGCTCCCCCTGTCCCGGGGACAAGCAGGGCTCTGGGGGCTGTGAGCACCTGCCGCTGTCCGTGCAGACCCCGTGGTGCACTACCTGGGCTTCCTCCCCGTCGTCGACGGAGACTTCCTCCCCGACCACCCCGCCAACCTGTTCGCCAACGCGGCCGACATCGACTACATCGCCGGCACCAACGACATGGACGGCCACCTCTTTGCCACCGTTGACACGCCGGCCATCGACAAGAGCAAGCAGACCGTCACAGAGTGAGTAGGATGCAGGGCCCAGGGCAGGGCCCAAGGACAGGGCAGTGAGGGGAGGCATCCGCTGGGCCAGGCCGTGGGCACGTGCGGGTAGAGGGCCATGCAGCCCCCTGGGGGTGGGGCCGACTCCCCTCCCGCTGGCCCTGGGTGGCGGGTCCAGTGCCGGCTCTGTCGCTGCAGTGAGGACTTCTTCAAGCTGGTCAGCGGGCTCACCATCAGCAAGGGGACGAGGGGCGCCAGGGCCACCTTCGACTTCTACACCGCGCCCTGGGCCGAAGACGCATCCCAGGAGGCCGTGAAGAAGACAGTGGTGGGGTTCCAGACCGACATCCTCTTCCTGATGCCCACGAAGATGGCCCTGGCCCAGCACAGAACCAACGCCAAGTGAGAACCTGGGTGGGGGGCCCCCTGGGAGGCACACAGCCCCCCACTGAGGCCTCACCGGGGGCGGCCCACAGGGGTCCGGGCAGCCCGGGGCAGCTGTGATGGGCTTGCTGGTGGTGCCTGTGCCCTTGGCGTTCCCCAGGCCTGACAAGATTTGAGAAGACCCCTCCTCGCCTCCCAGCCTCGGGGGGCGGGGGGCACGACCCTCCCTCAGCCCCAGGCCTTCCCCCTGCAAATCTCTCGGGTCTGCTGCCCACCCTACTCTATGACGGTCTCTGCAGCGGGGACCCTCTACATGGTAATAGCCAGTGAGAATAAAAAGTAACTGAGGAATGCTTAAAAAGTAGGAAGGTGAAATTATACCCAGAGGTCCAGGGTGAGGACTTTGCAGCAACTAAACAATGAGTTCAGCCCTGAGCTTCCTGTCAGTCAAGGCCAACGAGGAAGCCCCTGAGAGCAGAAACCTGGGCCCGTCAGAGGAAAAAGACACATTCATTTTCGGAGAAAAAGCATCTGCCTTGATACTGAACTGCAGGAGGGTAGGCGCCTCTATGTTTTCTGGAGGTGAAGCAGACGGATGTGTAATTGAACTCATAGAACCCACAAACCCATGAACTTGGCCCACGGCTTTCTCTTCCCCAGGGGCAAGGACCCAGGCTCTGTATGAGTCTGGGGCACTGCCAGCCCTTCTCTGGTGTCCTCGTGGTGCCTCTCCAGGCCCCCTCCAGGCTGGGCGGCCCAGGCGAGCCCCACACTGACGCGGGTACTGTCCTGTGCCCCCACAGGAGCGCCAAGACCTACAGCTACCTGTTCTCCCATCCCTCTCGGATGCCTATCTACCCCAGCTGGGTGGGGGCCGACCACGCGGATGACATCCAGTACGTCTTTGGGAAGCCCTTCAGCACCCCTCTGGGTTACCGGGCCCAGGACAGGACCGTCTCCAAGGCCATGATCGCCTACTGGACCAACTTTGCCAGAACTGGGTAAGGTGGGGTGGAGCTGGGGCCTCCCACCACCTTGGCCCTCTGGGCCTGGGTTCTAGTCCCTGTCCCCTCACACTTAACCTCCCTCGGCCCCCAATGTGTGCGTAAGGATAAGAGCCGCTGCCTGGGCCCCGGGATAGGCACGAGCCGGGCTGCTGCCCAGGATTCAGGGAGGTGCCCAATGGTCGGGTTGGCACGAGGGTAGAGGGCTGCCCAGGTGAGCCTGGGCAGGGGCGTGGGTCCCCAACCCCCACATCCCCTTTTGTCTCACTCTGCAGGGACCCCAACATGGGCCACTTGGCTGTGCCCACACACTGGGACCCCTACACCCTGGAAAACGGCAATTACCTGGAGATCAACAAGAAGATAGATAGCACGTCCATGAAACAGCACCTGCGCAGCGACTACCTGAACTACTGGGCCCTGACCTACCAGGCACTGCCCACGGTCACGGAAGACGAGGCCACCCCTGTGCCTCCCACAGATGACTCCGAGGTCACCCCTGTGCCTCCCACAGATGACTCCGAGGCCACCCCTGTGCCCCCCAAGGATGACTCTGAGGATGTCCCTGTGCCCCCTGCAGGTGACTCTGAGGAAGTTCAGATGCCTGCAGTCATCGGCTTCTAATGTCCTTGGCCCCAAGAGGCCACAGGGTGGGACCCCAGGGAGCTGCCCGCCCCCAGGCTCTTCCTGAATAAAGCCTCCTCTCTCTGGCTGGCGTCTTTCTTTGCTCTCTCGGCCTCAGTCACTGCCGGTGCAGGGCCCGCTGCTCCCCAGTCTCTGTCAGTCTCCAGTGCAGGACACGGACAGTGCCACGCCGGCTGCATTTCAGAGGAGGGAACAGGGTCCGAGAAGGGGCAGAGCCAGAGCCGTACCCGAGCGTGGGCCCCCCATGCCAGGCTGCTGGCTCTGAGGGGCTGGTCCTGCCCAAAGTGCGAGCAGGCCCAGTGCGGCCCAGCCCTCCGGGCTCAGGAACTGGCCTGGGAAGAGGAATGGAATCCGCCTCTAGCTGGACCCAAGTCAAGGACAGAAGAAAGCATCGCACTGGACTTTCAGATACAGAAGGTACAAGAGGGCTGGGCCATGGCTGCCCCCGCCTGGCAGGGGCCTGGCCCAGTGCCTGACGGCCCCGGCCCAGTCCAGAGGGGGAGTGGGAGGCAGAGGTCAGACCTCTGCGCGCTGGCCTGGGCTCAGCCCCCCTGGCCTCACCTTGGCCCTGTGAGGCGGGCACTGAGGACCCCTTGAAACGGTCACCGGCATTTTGAGAGAAACAGGCCCCGAGAGAAGCTGCGTGTCCCGGGCCCCCAGAGCAGGAGTCCAAACCCAGGCCCGAGACTCCAAAGCCCACAGCGTTGGGACAGGGTGAGGCGTCGGAGGAGAGAAGGTTCTGGGACCCTGGGCAGCTCAGCCTGATGGGTGCATGTGTCGGTTGTGCCGTGCCAGGGCACCAGCCGGCCACTTCCTCTCCAGCCCACAGACGGGACACTGAGGCCCAGACAGCCATGTCCTGTGGCCCTAGCGTCAGAGCCGTGTGAGGACAAGCCCCACCCTGAGGGGCAGGGGCACTTGGGCTGCCCTGTGACCCCTGGACTGCCCTGGGCTGCCGGGCTGGGCCACGGGCTCTCGAGTATAAAGGGGGGACTCCTGGTCAAAGGTTGAGGGGATGGACCCCCACTGATTGCCTCACCTATGCCGGTCCCTGCTCTCGGGGACACGCATGAGGCACGAGGGGCTCCAGTGCGCCCGTCCTCGCCACGGGGACACACACGCCTTCTGCAAGTGTCTCTGCCTGTGCAGTCTGCTCTCTGGGGACTCCTGTGCCGCAAGGGGGTCCCCTCGAACCCCAGTGCCTCCTCCTGGTCCTGGGACCTGGCATTTGTCCCCCTTGTTCAGGGAAGCACAGTCCCGCGGCCTGTCACCCAGGAAGTCACACCCCTGCTTAGCTAGGCCAGGTCAGAACGGCCCGGGCTGTCGGGACCCGGTGTGTGCTCAGGCCAGGCGGAGGCGAGCCCTCTGAGCCCTGACTCGGGCAGCCACCGAGATAGTTCCGGGTGGCCCGCAATCCACCTGCCTCTGACCAGGCTGTGTCTCCAGGGGCTGAAGTCGAGAACACTCACCAAGGCGCAGCCAGGAGGGCCTGGGAGGCGCCCGCAGGGCCAGGTGTTGCTCTTTAGCTCTGATCTCGGCGGGAGACCTGCGGGGGAGCTCGGACGAGTTCCGCCTCTCGGACACGATTCAGGATTTCATCGTCGATTCAGGATGTCATCGTCGATTCAGGATGTCATCGTCGCAGGCAGCCTCGGTGGTCCTCCTCCCCTGCCCTCCCACACCTCACCTTTCACCTCCCCCATGAGACTGGGTCAAACCCCCACCTCCCCATGACCTAACCGAAGCCCAGGCTCCGACCAAGGACGCCGCCGTCCCAGGATGCTGCGGGCTCCAAGGGCCCGGCCCAGCCACCCTTTCGGACCGTGGGAGATAACGTGACTGAAATCTGGACTCCTCATTGGAGGTCAAGAGCAACCCCAGGACCAGCGGAAACCCTGGCCTCCGCCTCCCCTGAAAGGCAGCCATGTCCTGGGTCAGGAGTGGGTCCTTGCAACTGTTATTATTTAAAATTCGGGGGGAGCCCTGGCTGGTGTAGCTCAGTGGTTTGAGTGCGGGCCTGCGAACCAGACAATCGCGGTTCAATTCCCAGTCAGGGCACATGCCAGGGTTGCAGGCAGGTTCCCTGCAGGCCAGTTCCCAGCAGGGGATGCACGAAAGGCAACCATACATTGATGTTTCTCTCCCTCTCTCCTTCCCTTCCCCTCTAAAGATAAATAAATAAAATCTAAAAAATAAATAAATAAAATTCGGGGGGAAATATACACAACACATGACATGCTAACTTAACTTTTTAAGAGCGCAATTTAGGGACACTATCAGCACCCACAGTATGGTGCCACCACCATTACTGGGCCCAAAATTTTCACCACCCAGCCAGAAACTTCGTGCCCATTCGGCAGTGCCGCCCCTGCCACCGCCAATCTAGTCAACGTCCTGTCTCCATCAGTTGTCCTGTTCTAGATATTTCTTCTACGTGGAATCCCACGTTCGGGGCCCATCGTTGTAGCAGCGTGGATCAGAACTCCACATCTCCGGTGGCTGGACGGCACGCCAACATGTGCTGTCGATGATGGCACCCCGCGCTCTCAGCACCCCTTTTATTTCTCTACCATCTATCGTAACGCCACGCCTGGGGTCCCTGCGGCCGGACCACGGCGCAGCATCTCAACGTCTGGGGTGGTGTCCTCCGGGAACCGGCCCATTTCCTGTGCTGTGATTGGTTGAGAACCAGGCACTGAGTGTTAACACTGGAATCCGGAGAGCCGCTTCTCCCCATCCTCACGTGTCTTTCTGTGGCCGGTTGAGGGAGGCGGCCCTGTTTCTATAGAAACTCCTCCAAATGATTTTTGCAAAGCCTGCATTTCTTGTTGTGTGTGTGTGGCCCCTGGTCTCTGTCCCCAGGTCCCTGTCAGCAGCGTGTGACCTGGCAGAGACTTCCTTGCCTGTTCAAGTTCAGCAGCACGGCCCCCCATGCAGCCACCCCTGCTGTTGCATCTGATGAGGTTCCAGAGCCCCAGGTCTGATGATTCTGGTAAATCCCCCCCGCCCCGGCTTCATGGTCGTTTCCATGGAGAGACTGACCCCCGGAGCTCCTCACTCCACCAGTTTCTGCCCCCAGCGTTGCTTTCTGACTTGCAGAGGTGGTCTCTGCGTGCCCCCCTGTGAAGGCACCTTGACCTCTACTCCCAGGGGTCCTGCGCGTCCTGTCTCAGCTCGCTGCCCAAGTGAATGACACTCAGGTCGACGTGCACGCCGTGGACGTGGGACTGGGCGCGCCCTCGGGAGCCAGAGACCGGGGCGCTGCCCCACCCGCCTCCCGGCAGAGACTCCGCCACGTCTGAGCCGAACACGGACGGTGCGCGTCGGCAGGGCCTTTGAATCGGCGGGGGAAGTGAAAGGAACGGGCCTCTCCCAGGCTATAGTAGAAACAGGATTTTAATATAATATTCAAGTCTAGCATTTTCTATTTACAACAAATAAATATTGCCCCTCCCCAACTGGTAAACATGGTTTTTGCCTTTTATACAAATACTCAATGCCCCCCCCAGTCCTCCTTTCCCACAGACCCCGTCCTGTGCGGTCTCAGTCTCCTGAAGCCCAGGGCGCGGTGCTGAGTGGCACCTGCAGTGTCCTGAGACGTGACGTTGACGGCCCCGGCCAAGACTGCCCTCGTGCACCGAGCAGAGAGGGGTCCGTGAGGAGGGCCTCTCCTCTCCTGGGGCGGGCCGGGGTGGGCTGCGGGCTCCCTCTCAGCTGGCCCTGACGATGGAATCTTTGGTGCGGCCTGAGGAAGGCTGGAGTGGTGGTGGAGGGCCGGGACCTGGCAGTGGCACGGCCGGTGCCCGTGGCTGTGAGGAGAGAGCTGCAGTGGTCGGGCCCAGCAGGTGAGCGGGCGCCCCGGAGTGCCCGTGGGCACGAGTGGCAGTGACCCACACCTGGGCGGGTGTGAGGGAGGTGTAGTGAGAGCGTGCCCAGTGGCGGGCAGGGCTCCATGCCCCTTGGCAGCACTCCTTGGCAAAGTCGGCAAGTCCTCTGGGTCCAGAGAGCAGAAGGCACCTAAGGCGGCAAGTGGTCCACGGGAGGCCAGGTCAGCCTGTGGACGGGCAGGCGTCAATCCTGGCAGTGAGAGAGGTCCAGGGTGAAACCGGAGTCGGGGTGGCCTGGGCTGGCAGGCAGGGCCCTGGAAGGCGCCTGCCTGGCTGGTGCCACTGTCGTCTGTGACTGGCTCACTGCTCGGCCAGCCCGATCCTGGAAAGGGCAGGCCTGTGGCTGGGCCAGCCCGAGGGACCCGCTAGAAGATGCCCTTGGCAATCTTGAGTCCCTTCTGCTTCATGCGGGGGAGGGTGGAGCTGGCCCCGTGCCTGACCTTTGCCCCCTTGGTGAAGGTCCGTTTCTTTAGGACGAAGTCGTAGTTGGCAGCGGAGTTCATGGCGTAGAACACGTTGGCGTTGTCAGGGATCTTCAGCTCTGGGCAGGGCAGGGTGGAGGGATGGTCAGTGTGAGACCCCGCAGGGCGCTGCCTCACCACGTGAGGGCCCCAGGACGGATCCTTGGCCGGAGACCAAGACCCCTGCCCCAACTCCGGGACCACGAAGGACCCATCTCAGTGACACTGGCCCGAGGTTCTTAGAGCCCTGACCACCTCCCCTGGGTCCTGCCCCGCTCAGGACAAGAGCTCTGAGCCCAGGGACAGGCAGCCCTGTGTGTCGCCTGGGCACCAGGCATTGCAGGTCCTCGCACTCTGCTCCGGCACCCCACCTGTCCCCTCTGGCCTGGAGCCTGCCCTGCCCCCTTCCGGGCTGGAATCTGGGCCCGTTTCAGCCTGTGGCACTTATCCTAAGCCACAGGTGGCAAGCACAAGGCCTGCGGGCCAAATGGGCCTCCACCTTGTCTCCACCTGGCAGCAGCCCCAAGCACTCGCTTGACTGTGAAGGAGGAGTTACATTTACAGGGTCTTGACATTGCGTTCAGCTCTGTGAAGGCCTCCACGAGGCTGATGTGGCCCCCGGTGACAACGAGTCTGACGCCTCTGCTCTGGGCCCTGAACCTGTCCATGCCCCTCTACTCCTTGTCCATAACAAGGGTTGCGCCCGCCCCGCCCCCTCACCAAGGTGGTGCAAGGAGGTGAGAAGGGATTAAGGAACCGACCTCGAGGGATCGAGGGGGCATTACCAACTGTCTGGGGCTGAGGCGGGGAGCGGGTGATGAGCTCAAGGCAAAGGAGGACGTACAACCACGTACAACCCCGGTGTGGGAAACACCACCGTAATTAGTACGAGAACACACTGTGTCTCCTGCGCTCACGACCACCGACCTGCCCGCCCCTGCCTGCTTCCACAACGAACCGGCCCCTTAATTTCCTGCGTGGGAGGGGAGCATGGCCGCCCCGAGTCTGCACTCAGATGCTCTCTCCCTTCCCCAGGGCTTAGAATGCTGCGCTGCCCCCAAGGCCCCCTGCCACGGGCTGAATGCCTGTGTCCCCTCGGGATTCCCGCTGACACCCTGACTTCCAAGGGATCCGGAGTTAGGGCTTTGGGGAGGCGGTGAGTTCCTGAGGGTCCCCTGTGAATGGGACTAAGCGTTCTTCTGAGCGACCCCAGGGAGCCACCCCTCCCCATGTGAGGACAGCGCCAGAAGTCAGCAGGCTGCAGCCCGGAAGCCGGCCCTTGTCCGACCTCGCCCGGCCCCCAGCTTCCGGAACTGGGAGGGACATGTTTCTGTTGCTCATAAGCTCTCAGTCTGTGGGTCTGTCACAGCGGCTGGGACGGGCTGAGACGGTGGCCTATGCACGTGGCTTTTAACCCACCTGATATTCAGTCCCCTGCAGTCAGTCTCCTGTCCTAGCCAGAAAGCACCCCCTTGACGGGTGGGCTTGGCCACCAGGCTGCTTTGCCCCCAGAAGAAAAGCCTTTTCACTGCAGCTCTGACCTGGGGCCACGACCCAGGCAAGGGGGCTGCCCCGGAGCGGGCCAGTGTGGGCAGAGCCGGCTCCTCCCCTGCAGGCCTGTGTTCTGGGGCTGCGGTCAGGGTAAGTTGTGGTCCCTTCACCCCCGGGCCCACCCCCGGCCCACCCCCCAGCCCCAGCTTACTCCGCTCATCCGAGATAACCTGCACCAGCTCGTAATGCTCCGGCTCGCCCTCTTCCAAGTGGTGTTTGTCCAGGGCCTTTCGGATGACAGCTGGGGCCTTATCTTGGCTGGTCACCTGGATCCGGATGGGGACAGGCCATCAGGGTAAGGATCCCAGAGGGGCTCCCTGGGAATGGGATGGCCAGGGACCCATGGAGCCGCCTCAGTCAGGGTCACAGCCTCCGGCCGGATGCTGGGTCTGTGGGACAGGAGAGACCTCCTCTCCTGTCCTCCAAGGGGGTCTCCTTGCAACGATGAGGGGCCTTTCCCAATTGTTCCTTATACCCCTTCCCCCACAAGCCTGCCACCTCCTCCCATACCATGTGGGGGACCGCCTGCCCCTGCAGCTTCTGTAACAGGGAGTCTGAGGAACAGACGGCCCCGGGGTGGCAGCCACAGGGTGCCCAGGGGCCACCACACGCCAGGCCCACCCGGGCTGCAGGCTGCCGGCATGGTGGGCACAGGCAGACCCCTGCTGCAGCCTCCACCCCAAAGGCCAGAGTGCAGGTGAGTCTCAGACACAGGGTCACACGGGTGTCACCGGGCACCTGACCCAGTTGTGGGGTGCGGTGGGGATGGGGGCAGCAAGGGCTCCTCTGAAGCCCACTTCTGCAGGATGGGGAGGGTCCGTTCCACCCCCAGGGCCCAATCCCGCCGGCTGGACCCCGGCCTTCAGTGTCACGCAGTGTCTGACACCACTGGCCGCCCCCACGGCCACCTCCTGCCCCACTTGCCCGAATCTCCCAGCACCACCAGCCCATCCCCTCAGGAGACTGAAGTCACAGGTCACCACTGTCCTCCTCTGCCCCCACCTCCAGTGGCTCCTGTTTCCTTCTGACACTTCTGTGACCCCGACTCTCAGCCCTGACCCCTGCTCCTTCACCCCGGGCCTGCCTGCTGCCTGCTAACCCCCAGCACACCCCCACCTTGGGACACTGCCCTCCGGGGCGTCACCAGTGACGTCCTTCCTGGCTGTGACGGGACCTGTACCTACTGCCCTCAGCTGACGTCTCCTCCCCCGTCCCTCCTGACCAGACCCTCTGGTCGGCCGCCTCGGGAGGGCGGGAGGACACAGGGAGACCAGCCCCTGCTCGTGGCCTGCCAGGCGGGGCCCCGCGGGGACGCCTCCCGGCCCGCTCACCAGGATGCTCTTGTACATGTTGCCGTTGTCCACGTCCAGGCTGACCCGGATGATGCAGCAGTCGCCCACCTGCTGGTTGTAGAGCGGCAGCGAGACGCTGCAGCTGCTGACCCCTGAGACGGAGCGCTTGTGGGTGCGGGTGCCGGCCACGGGCGTGGTGGAGGCCGAGGAGGAGGAGGCGCTGCTGGAGGCCGAGCTGATGCCGGAGGTCTCGGGCGACGACTGCGAGGCCGACTCCCAGAACTGTGGGGGGGCCTTGTCAGCAGAAGCCCCAGGTCGGGGTTCCAAAGGGCTCTCTTTGGGAGCTGGGGCATCGCCGCCCCATTTGTGGGTGTGCAGGGGGAACCGGAAGGGAGGGACCGTGAAGGGCTGTGCGGAAGGGGCGGTCACCTTCTTCTCCTGGCCGTCGGGGGATTCCGGGACGAAGCTCATGTTGATCTCCTCCACGTCGGAGCTGGAGGAGCCCGCTGAGTGCACGCTGAGTGCGTCGGCGACGTCCCCGCCGCTGAGGTAGGGGCCACACCTGAGTTGGTCACAGGACTTGGAATGCGAGCTGCCGCTGGTATTCAGCTCTGTGCTGGGGGCCTGGCGGCTGGAGAAAAGGCTGGGTTACTTGGGGGAGGCCTCCCCTGGGGGGCATCCTCCCGGCACCCCTCCCCCACACTCTGCTCCAGGCACTGGGCTGAGTGCTCAGCCAGTCACCTAACATCCTTTAGCGTCACCCCGTTTCAGAGGAGGAAACTGAGGCCCAGCCAGGTGAGGCGATGCCCCTGGTCAGTGGGCTGGTCAGCGGAGAGGCTGAGACCTCAGTGGCAGCTGCTGGCCCCCCTCTGCCCCGAGGGCCCCCCCGCCGCACACGGCACCTACTCGCTCCAGCGCTTCACAATGGCTGTGTTCTTCTTGGCCTTCAGGGTGTTGCTGGCTGACTCGGAGGGGGGCTCCAGCTCACAGGACAGGTTGTAGCTGCAGGGCAGAGTGGCGGCTGCGGGTCAGCAGGAGCCACACGAGGTCTCCCCCGCAGCGCCTGCCGGCGGCTGGAGTCTGGACACCCGGCCATCTTGCCAGGCAACAGGGTCAAGTGTTCATCTCCCGCCCACGGCACAGCCTCTGGAACTGGCTCTGGGGACAGCTCGCTGGTGACATGTCTGATTCCCGCCCCGGCCTCACCTCTGGGTCTCGCTGAGCCGCTGTGTGGCGCGGAACCAGGCCCCGAACTGCTCCTCGGGCTCGATGCTGTAGTTGTTGCAAGCCGACTGGAGCAGCTTGATCTGGGCGATCACTTCAAACTCCTGGGGCCAGAGGGAAGGGCAGGACAGCAATGGCCCGAGTGGGGTGGCGGCTGGGCGGCTCTGGGTCCCCTCCTCTGCCCTCCCCAGGCCTGACCAGACCCTCAGAGCTGGGTTCACACAGTCCTTCCCCAGGAAATGGACCTTGGTTCTCAACCCCACCCCCACCCTGCCCTGGGAGAGGTTCCCCCTATTCTGTGCCCAACTCTCCCCACCCACAGATAAGGAATGGGGACAGAGTCAAGAATGTTCTACCCAGGGGGTACCTCTGATTTCCACCCCCAAGGCAAGAGCTGTGGCCACTCACCTTCCTCCTCTTCTCGAAGTTGATCAGCCTCCCCTGGAAGGCAGAGAGCCAAAGCCCATCAGAAAATGTCTCCTTGCCCATGGTGACCTGGCACCCCCTCCAGGCTGCATTACCAGCAGCACCCACGAGGGGGCAGACTATGCCCACAGGCTTGGACCTTGGGTGGGTGCTGGGGTACCTTTTTGCCCAACCCTCTTGAGAGGTGGGGAGACTGAGGCCTTGGGGCAAGAAGGCCCTGCTTGACCACCAGACACCTGACCCTAGAGGGTCCGGCTTCCTGCCCATGGGTACCGCCCAAGGAGGGAGCTCTCCTAAACTCTCCTGCAGTTCTGAGCCCACCAGCCAGAGGGCAAGCTGGTCACCCACTGGTAAGAAGGGCAGGTGCCCCCACACACAGAAGCCCAGGGCCCTCATGAGATGAGGTGTGCCACGTGGGGAGCTCAGGGCTCAGTGAGGGGTGTGCTCCTTCCGGGGCTCGGGGCCCGGCCCAGCCCGGCCGCCCCCAGCCCCCCGGCCCGCGGCTTACTCACATACAGGTAGTCCTTCATGGCGGTGTCCAGCATCACCAGGTCCGTGAGGAACGTGCCCAGGTAGGGGATGGTGCCCTGGATGACACCCTGTGGTGTCGGGGTGGGAGGGGATAAGTGGGTCCGTGGCCACTCCCCTGGAAACCCCTGGGCCCCGGCAGGCGCCGGGCCTCCTGCTGGGAGTAACCTGTGGATCTCTGGGCACCAACCTCTCCCTGTCTCTGGACCCCAAAGTCCCTCTGGTCACCTTCCAGGCCTGGTATTTGGTCAATCCCCAAGATTATATGGTCTCAGGCCCTCCCCACCCCTAAATCCCTGCACCCTCCTCTTCCAGGCCCTTGCCCTGGTGGCTCTAACTAGTCCCCCAGGGACACCTGTGGGTCGGGGCTCAGAGGGGGCCAACCCCTGCCTCTCCCGGGCCTCGGGCAGGCTCACCGTCTCCTTTGGCCGTTTCTGGGCCCTCTTGGGGTTCATCTCCAGGGTGGCAAACTTGGAGGTCCCCTCCTACCAGGGCAGAGGGCAGGGTCAGTGAGGACTTCTCCCTTTGCCCTTTGCACCCAGATCTGTCTGGTCATTTGCACCCACGCCTGGACATCCCCTCTGGGACTTGGCTCCTGGGCATGCCCTGCAGGGCCACCCCTGGGCTGGTCTGGGAAGGAAGGGATTCCTACCCCTGGCACCCTCCACCGCCACCCGGAGGACGCTGGGTGCCAGCGGGAAGGGACAGCACAGAAGCAAGAGACCTGACCCTGCCCGCTCACCCGCCCCTTCTGGGAAAGCCTACACGCCCCATCCCGTTCCTGGGGCCACCCACAAACAGGTCCTTCTCTCCCCAAGGTCCAGACAAGACAGGCCTGTAAGTTTCCAAAGAAACCCGCTGAGAAGCTCCCCGCACCCCATACCTTGATGAGCAACTCTCGGCTCAGTGAGTAGTTGTTGTCATCTGAGAAAATCTCCGACAGCTTCTGAAACACCCGCAAGCTGTCCCTGGGGGTGTGGTGGGGGGAGTCAGTGCAGATCCATTTGATCCCAAAGGCCCCAATTGCCGGGGCTGGTGGTCCCACTGGGCCCTAGGGCTCTGTGGGCCTGGGGAGGTATCCCTCATGTTGGCCACCTGGTCCCCGTGCATTTCTACTGAGTGGCTCTGATGTGGCCAGTTTTGACTTCCTGTGGCTCAGTAACCGAGTACTGAGGTGGAACTGTCGGCCTGAGGCCGATGGGCACGTAGGACCCCGTGTACCCTGGCAGGAAGCTGGCCCCCAAGGGGACAGCCCCATGCCCTGTGGGGGGACCTGGTGCACCGTGGAGCTCCTACGGAGAGGCCCGCCCACCTGGAAACTTCTTCCCACGTCTTCTTCAGCCGGTGGACGGCGTTGCTCTGCAGGGCGGAGAGGATGGCGTACAGAGACGAGAAGTTCTTGAGCGCTCGGCACTCCTGGCAGGGGGGGAGGGGCGCAGCCGTGAGGGGGGCGCTGGGGCACCCACCTGCTCCAGTGCCAGCCCCTCGGCAGACCAGAAAGATGCCCGGGGAGCCCCCAAAGGGACCTGGGCCCCAAGCCCCGAGAGCTGCACTGCAGGGACTGGAGGACCTGAGCCCCGGCCAGAAAGGGAGGGAGGAGGAAGCGAGTGCCTAAGGAGGGGTGTGCGAGTCGGGGTCATCGAGTCCCTGAAACAGGGGCCCGAGAGTGGATGAGGGCGGCAACGGGGTTTCCCGGTCCCCCGAGGCGTACCCTGGCCACCTCGATCCAGTGTTCCACCACCCTGGCCCTGTCCCTGGCCGTGGCACTGCGGTCGCCGAGGCAGGTGGTGATGACGCAGTTGGCCACACTGTTGAACTGGGTGACAGTGGCACGGACGGTGGGAGCCAGGTGCTCCTTGCCCTTCTTGTCACGCTGGGACCAGATGGACCCCAGGCAGTGGTAGGGCACCACCTTCTTGAACAGCTCCTGGGGGGCAGATGAGCGTCACCCGCCAGCTCTGCCGCACCCCAGCTCAGCACGCTCAGTCTCCTACCGTCCAGGGGGCCCTGGTCAGAGGGAGCTCTGGAGACTGCGGACGGGGACTGAGGCTCTTGGGGGTCTCGGCTCGGTTTCCTGCCCGCCCTCACTAACTCTGAGCACTGGGACGTGGCTTCCACCTGCACGGACCGAGCGGCGCCCCGAGCCCCGTCACAGCTGTCTGTGCCTGTCCAGAGGCGTGTCCACTCTGTGGGTCTACAACTAGGGGTTGGTCTGGTGTCTGCCACATAGTCAGGTGCTCATCCGGTGCCAAGTGCCGAGGCTGGTGAGGCCTCCTAGGCAGATGGGGGCAGGTACCTGCTGGAGCCGGCTGCACCTCGGGAGCTCCTCACCTGTCTACTCTTCCACCTCATCTGTGCAGAGGACGGGGTGGGGGTGGGGTCTCAGCTCCATAGTCCACAGGGGAATCGAGGCCTCAGGGTTAAGAAGCTTGCCCAGATCACTCGGTCTGTAATGCTAGGGGCTGGGATTTGGGCCAGGACATTGGCTCTGGACCAGGAAAGGTAGGGCTGGGCAGCGGTGCCAGGGGAAGGTGTGCCTTCTCTGCCCACCTGCTGAGCAGCGTCACTCACCGCATCCATCAGGGTAAACTGTTCTGCCACCAGGTCCGGAGGGAACGCCAAGAGGTGAGGCTTCTCCTCGCTCAGCCCATTCTCTGCAGCCACAGGCGAAGGCCAGGAAGGCTCTGGTGCTGGAGCTGGCCCTAGCTCTAGAGTTCTCAACAGAGCTGCCTCCAGCTCTGGAGTGGGTGTTGGAGCCAGTGCTGGCATTGGCTCTCGCTCTGGAGCTGGTTTGAGATCCGGCTCAAGCTCTGAAGCCAAGACTAGCTCTTGCCCTGAAACCAATACTGGACTGGGCGCTAGAGCTGGTGTTGGACTGAGCGCTAAAGCTGGTGTTAGAGCTGGCTCTAGCTCTGGCATGGGACTGGGCGCTAGAGCTGGCACCGGCGCTGGCTCTGGAGCTGGAGTTGGCGATAGAGCTGCAAGAGGAGAAAAGTTCAGCAACACCTCTGCTTTTCCAAGACAAAAAATCACACCACTGCTTTCACATCTTCCCCACCTGTGGGCCACCATGTGAGGGTCTGAGGCCAGTCTTTGCTCCTGGCCATGTTAGCCTCTGGAGCCCCCACTGTGTGCCCAGCACTGGTCCCTCCCCAGGCACCCACCACCCCTGGCTCCTCACCCTCCAGCTCTGCCTGCTCTAGCTGAGCCAGGAGGAGGTGTGCGCGGCGTTCCAGGTCGGAGCCAGGCATGTTGAGCTGCACGTAGGCTGCCAGCTGCCGGAGGCAGGGGAAGTCGGGGGGCTGGCAGAAGTCCTCGGAGTACTGGTCCAGCCAAGCGCCCAGGATGGAGGAGATGGCACTGGGGGGGGGGGTGCGTGGGGCGGCAGCAGTCAGAGGCCTGGCCTCTCCCTCCATGTGGCCCTCCCTGGGCCACGCCCACCTCTGCCCTCCCAGAGGCCAGGACCCCCTGCCCCCTGCCTTGGGCCGTCCATGCAAGGGGCAGGCCTGGTGAGCAGGCAGGAGCCGGTCACCTCTGGGGGAAGGAGGCCTGCATCCATGGGGTGACCCTCTCCTGCCCCCGGAAAGTCTGACACCCTCCTATCTGTCCCCAGCCCCTCCCCCTGGAGCATCCTCCTGTTTACTGCACAGAGTGGCACACAGTAGGTGCCGCAGGAAGGCGGGAGGGAGGAGGGGCAGGCACCGTGTCCCGCCCAGCCTCCCGGACCCTAGTCTTCCCTCTGACACTATTCTGGGGTCACAAGCTGTGTGGGGCAGCAGTTTACCCCAACCCCGCAGCCTCAGCCCCCAAACGTCCCCCGCGGGGCCAGGAGGCCCTCCCGCCAGACGAGAGGCCCACTCACTTTCTCAGCTGGTCCTGGGGCCCACCGTCCTCGTGGGGGTACGGGAGGATGCATCCGTATCTAGAGGAGGCCGTGAGGGCGTCACATCTACCGTACCTGCTGCGACGTCTGGTGTTACTGGGGAGCCCCTCCCCCCACTGCCCCCCATTAGGTTGGAGGCCCTGGAGGGCAGGGTCGTTTGCCTGCTTTTCTCACGGAATTCTGTCATAGGCCCAGAAAGTGCCTGCACACAGGGGGCTTCACGAAGTACGTCTGGGGGAGGGGTGAATCCCAAGTGGCACCTTGCTGACATGGGAGCGGGTCCGGGCCCCCCAGGCAGCCCCCCGGAGTCCCTGCCCTGGCCTCTCATGGAGTGGACCCCCACGGGGAGGACCTGGGCCCTCCATTCAGACAGGAAGACCGTGGCGCCCACGGGCACAGGGCAGTGAGGCTGGAGACGGAGCTGCTTGGGTGGGGAAGTCGGACGTAAGGACCAGCACAGGCGCGGACAGCCCCACTGCCCGCCGTCCCGACCACCCTGGGGGTCCGTCCTCTCAGCATCCAGTTTTCACCGGAGCAAGCCGAGGCTCAGAGAGGGGCAGCGATACTCCCAAGAGGCACAGCAGGCGGCGGGCGGGGCGCTCACCTTTTGAAGAGCAGGTCCAGGACCTGCTGGGTGGTGGTGAAGGCCCGGTAGGTGCACAGGAAGATGGTGACGTAGGAGAGGTCGCTGCCCTCGAAGGCGGGCACCAGGTGCTCCACCAGCTTCTCCAGCGTGCCCGCCTTCACCGTCCGCACCTTGCAGGTCTCGTACAGGTTCAGGGCCGACTCATTTTCACACTGGGGTGGGACGAAGGAGGGACAGGTGGTCAGCGGCAGCAGCGGGGACCACCGGAGGTGCAGGGGTGGGGCTGGAGCTCAGACGAACTCCCAAGTGCTCAGTGACTTCTGGCAAGAGGGGGGACACAAGTGTCCCCAGCACTCATACGTAAAAGTAGAATTGGAGGTGGGGGGTGATGAAAAATACTAACTCCTCAGCTGGCCGAGGAAGGCAGCACCTGCCTGGGTGAGAGCAAGAATTACCCGTGAGCCCTGGCAGAACAGCCACGGGAAAGACGGGGGAGATGAGAAAACAGCCTACCAGGAGTGGGAGGGGTGGCACGTGGGGACACACGGGACCTCCAGGGCAGCTCTGTGGAAATGCCACAGACAGAAAGCAAGTTGCGCGGCCCCGGATGGTGGAGCTGCTGAGGGAGCTGGCTCCCTTCTGGGCCGCCAGACCTCGGCTCTGACCTGGAGGGGCCCCGGGGCCGTGCTCCGTGAGAGCGAGTTACAGGGAAGTGTATGTACTAACCTGAGCCCCTGCCCTTTCGGGGTGAAAACAGCCCTTCCTACAAAGTGGGGTGATGTTGCGGCTCAGAGAAGGGGAAGACAGGCTGAGGGGCTGATGGCCCCAGGCACAGCGAGGGGGCAGGAGTGAAACAAGAAAAACTGGGGCCCAATGCAAAAAGACTCCCAGACCAACGTGATGGCAGAAGAGCGTCAAAGTGCCCTTTCTGATGTTCACACTGCAGGGACAGTGACTGCACTCGGCCAAGCCCGGGGCGGGACAGTGGGGCCCAGGAGGGAAAGCCAGTGGGAGCGAGCCCAGGGCCGTGGTGGCCCCCCACACTCACCCCCAGCCAGCGCTGGCCCTTGGTGGCACCCTGGTGCACCTGCACCTTGCGCAGCGAGACAGAGTAGACGACCCCGTTGACCAGCTCCTCTCCGATCTCCTGCGTGGAGCTCTGCAGAGACAGGGCCCGGCCGCCGGGCGGGCAGGTCAGGGCCCCGCCGGCCGATGCTGCAGGGGCGCCCCTGCCACCTCTGACCCCCAGACACGATCCAGAGCAGCGGCCGCACAGACCCCCACCGGGAACAAACCCAGATGTCAGCTTGCAGACAGGACACACAGCAGGGTGAGGGGCGCTGCCCGGGGCCCTCCCCTCCCACCCTGCAGGCCGCCAGCCGGTGTGAACCGGACCAGGCTGCCAGGCTCCCAGTGCAACAGCCTGCTCCTGCCCAGGGGGCCCCCAACACGAGTACGGTGACTTGGTCACTCTGCAGATGAGGAGCGACCAGTCCAAAGTCACGTGACACGGCAGGGGAGCGGCGGACCCCACGCCCCAACAAGGCCCACCGCACCCAGGACGTGGGACCCCACCTCCGTCCCTCCTCTGCCCAGCCTGCCCGCCCCCGCCCCCCGCTGACCCCGCAGGGGTGGCAGCCCCTCCCGGCCCAGCCCTGGAGTCAGCGTCACGGCTCTGGGGCAGGTGTGGGGACCCTCCAGGCCACATCCGAGGCCACTTCCTTCCCCTTCTGCTCATTCATAGCCTTGTGCCTTCTTGGGCAAGAGAGGAGTTCCCCGTCTGTCATCACGTGCGTGGGGACAGAGTGAGAAAGGGGACAGTGCTGACGTGCAGGCTGGTGGCTGGGGCTCCATCAAACCCCAGGCCATGGGACTCTTTGGCTGGGCCGGGAAGAGAAGTCACCTGACCAGCACTGGACGCCGGGCAGAGAGCAAAGGCCCTCCTTTCTTTCAGGAGGCAGCAGCCCCATCCTGCCGGGCAGGCTGGCCCGGGGCTGTCATCAAGGCTCCCACAAGGCCCCCTGGTCACTGCTGGGCTGGGCTTCTCAACCCTGTCCCAGCTAGCCCTGTCCGGGGAAGGGGGCCCTGCAGCGGTGGGGGTCCTGGGAGTGGAGGCATCAACCTCCGAGAGCTCAGGGAGGGACTGGGAGCTCAGAGGGCCCCCGCCCGCAACCCATGAGACGTGCTGACTCAGCCTGGGCTCCACAGGCAGCCCCGGGGCCCGTGGCCTCAGTGGGGGCCCTGGGCAGGGACCAGCCGCAGCATCCCGGACTGTCACCCGCGATGCCAGCACCCCCGGGTCAGGGGCCTGTGCGCTGGAGGCTCGTGAGCCGTCCTCCAAGGTCCGCTTCCTCTGACCCAAGGCCGCCCTCCGGCTCCTGGCAGCGTCCCAACGGGAAAGCCACTGTGGCCACACAGGACCTCACACCACTGCCACCTCCAGGGAGCGCGCCAGCCACTTCTTGGAAGTCAGCAGGGATCCCACCGCAGATCCAACCCCCCCCCCCACCGGAGCAGCGCCCCCACCCGCACCCTCGCAGCCCACACCCAGGGGGGCCAGCCCTTCCACCGAGGAGGGAAATTCCTCCTCCCAAAGCAGAAAAACAGAAACAGATGCGCACTGTCCGTCCCCCCCACCCCTGTCCCCACCTAACACGCCCTCCCTGCTTAGAAGAGCCCCTGGGAGGGGGTGGTGACAGACAAGGGCCTCAGAGGCCTGCCACCCCCACCCCAGCCGGGCCCTGGCCACCCCCACGTCTCCTCAAAGGTCCCAGAGCCCTGGCCCCTCCTGGGGGTTTCAGTCACATCTGGCCCCGCTGGGAGCCAAACAGCACCCCGCGCCCGGACTCCTGGCAGCAGTGGGCAGCCCAGTGCAGGACGTGCCCGCCAGAGGGCACTGGACTTGAACCCCTTGGGAGCCCACACAGCACCTGGCTCCCAGGGGCCTCCATCCAGGCCTGCTGGACAGAGCCCTTCCTGGCCAGGAGAACCCTCGGGTGGGGCCAGGGCCTCAGGTCCAGACAGCGGCTCACAGAGCCGTGGGCCTCCCTGGCTGCGAGCAGCTGGCTGGCCCTGTTGGGTGTCATGTGATCCCTGAGCCCTTCCCCCACCCCGGAGGGGCCCCCTCTGCCAGCCGGTTGGGGGGCAGGGCGGGAGGCTGCGCCACAAGAGCCAGGCTGGGGGAGTCACTGCCCTGTCACACAGATGGGGAGCTGCTCTAGCCGGAGCGGAGCCAAGCCTGTCCTCCCCGTCCCCCTCCTGCAGCAGCGGCAGGACGAAGCCAGACCCCTGAGTACAGGCGCCATGGAGCCATCGACTGAGAGCCAGCAGAAGGGCGGCTCTGCAGCGAGTCCCCGGGTCCCCGGGTCCTGGGCAGAGGGGGGCGGGGCATCTGCCCCTGAGCTCACCCCCTTGCCGGGGACAGGGAAGGAAAGCAGCCTAGGCCACAGCCTGGTCACTGGCCCCAGGACCTGCTGGGCAGGCAGGGCAGGGTGCTGGGACCCGCAGATGACCCTGGGCCACCTCGTCTGTAGAGCTGGCTGCCCGGGGGCAGGAACAACAGCCCGGGGGGCTGCACCAGGCCCCCAAGAACACTAGGGGCCCTTGGGGGAGTGGGAAGGAGGGGACTGGCCTCACAAACAGATGTCCTGAGGGTGGCCCTGAACTGTTAGGGGAACAGACTGCCATGGGGGTGATCCGTCCTCAGGGGGACCAAAGCAGACACTCCCGATGTCCCCAGGGCCAGCAGTCCGCACCACTGCCTGACACACCTCCACCAAGTGGAGTCAGGGGGGTGGGGTGCCCCCAGGCCCTGGGGAGCAGAAGCCTTGGGAAACAGGCCCTCAGAGCGTCCCACACCCTCCTGTCCCTCAGGGTACAGCTGGAGCCCGGGAAATGAGAAGAAGAAATGGCCTGTGGGGCACCTTAATGTGTCACCTTAATGTGATCAGCCTTCTTGGGGTGGCAGACCAGCAGGATGCTGTGTCCCCAGCTGATCGCTGGCCACGCCCCAGTACCCTCAGGGTAGAATGAGGGGCTCACCAGGGTGGGGGGGGCACAGACGGTGCTGGGCCCTTCCCCAGCCCTGCCATCATTCCCGGAAGGTGGCTCACGGCCGTGCATATGGACAGCGCGCCTCCCATCCGGTCAGCTCTCCGCGCCCGCAAAGATGCGCCGTTCCTGTGAGTGACCAGAGGCTCCAGACTGGTTCCTCCTGAGGGGACCCACTGAAGCTTTCAGACGTTTTTTAGCCTTTTGTTCAAATGCGGGAGCTCGGACTCAAGACAGATCAAAGCGGGCCACTCGGCTCTCAGGCACCCCCGACACCCAGGACCGGCCGAACCCCAAAACCATGCACCCATTATCCAGAGGGGGAGGCTGAGGCCCAGGGGGTGATCAAGCAGACAATGTCCAGCCTGAGAGGAGAACCAGGATTTTTCAAGGTCAAGTCCTGGTTCATCTCTAGACCACAAGCGCAGGACAGGGCGAGTGAAAATGCTGAACGTGTGTCCCAGCTGGATGGCAGCTGGGTGTCCTGTACTGAGCCCCAGGGCATAGACAGGGCCCGGGCTGGGGCTCGAGGTAGGCCCTGGGCGAGGGTGGGCCACACTCCTGGTCGCCGCAGAGGCAGTCCTGGCTGGGGGCCGCTCAAGATGTCAGTTTTCAGGATGGCCAGGAAGCCCAGGGACCCCAGAAACTGGGGTTTGGAGGTTGTACTGAGGCCCCAACGAGGCTGACCCATCTCCCCCAGAACCTTCTCCCAGCAGCCTGAGCCCAGCTATGTAAATGTGCCTCAGGTGGGGAGGGGTGACTGGCCCCCAGGGGCCAGGTCTGCGAGGGGACAAGGCCAGCCTGGTCCCTCGGGCGTATAGGACGAGGCTGAAGGTCCGGTGCCAACAGCAACACCACGGGCCAGCGTCCAGTGAAGGTGGCACTCACCATGCCTGGTCCTCCCAACAGCTCACCTCATGGACAGGGAAGGAGCTGGGTGGGGACTCTGCCCCGGACGGGAGCCAGGAAGTAGCAGCTGGGGCAGGGACTTGAACCCTGGCCTCTGACTCTCAGGTCTTCAGGAGCCACACCCAGGCCTCACTCCACAGGTGGCTGCCACCGTCGCAGCCTCAGAACGGAGTCCAGTGACAGGAAGGACTCCCTTGGGTCACACGGCCAGGTGTGGGTGGCCCGGCCCAGCCCCCTCAGACCTAGGTCTCTCTACTGAGAGGGGACGTCCATGGGCCCCGAGGTCAGCTGCAAGGACCAGACCCGGGGAATGCCATGCTGACCCGGAGCCCGGGGAGTGGGCTTTCCCTGGAACCCGGCCAGGAAACACGACCAGGGCAGCCACTGGTGTCCAGCTCTGACGCTGTGCCAGGCATGACAGGGACTGTGTGTCAAGCCGCCTGTCTAGCTTGGCCCTCACCCTAAGCAGAGGAACCGGCACATAGTCCATTTTACAGACAAGGAAACGAGGCTCAGGGTGCAGGTCCAGGGAGCGGGGCCCAGCCGGCACCGCAGGGCCCAAGCTCCGGACCGGCACACTCGCCCCTGCCCCGCGGGTCAAAAAGAACAGCATCAGGGCGTGACTGCAGAGCTGGCCGAGCAAGCAGCCCGAGCTTCCCTGGAGAGGGGAGGAAACAGCCAGAGCCACGCCCACACCCAGATGCCCCAAAGGCAGCCCTCGAGCACTCGGGGTGCCCCCACCCTGCTCGCCTAGCCCCGTCCCGCTCCGGCCGCTCACTGCCTAGATCCTCAGACGCCATCGGACTGGGGAGTCGCTTCACTGCAGCTGCGTGTCCAGGAACGCAGCGTTTCCGGGCTTTGGAGGCTGGAGGCCTGAGCCTGGGACAGGGTGGCCACAGCACGATGCCAGGCCGTGGGAGCCATCTGGGCCACCAGCCAGCAGCCCCTGGGAACCAGGCCTCAACTGCCTGGTGCAGCCTCCCAAAACTGCCCCCTGGCTGGCCCAGAGGCTGGTGGCAAATTGTCTCCGGTGAAGACAGGGCCTAGATTCACCCAAGTTCCCGGTGGAGGATGGGCCCCCAGCCCTGCCCGAGAGCGACGCAGCATCTCCCAGGACTGACCTCCCTGCCCCTGCCCTTGCTACCTGAGAGGGGCTGGACAACCTAATTAACCTCCAGTGCCTCAGTCACTCCACCTGTTAAATGGACTGTTTAGTCCTGAACGAAAAAGGACGGGACGCCTGCAGGCACTTGGTACAGTGCATCCCACAATGCGCTGGCTCCAGGAGCCATTCTAAACCTTTGGGGTCCAGTGTGGGTCTGCTCCTTCCTGGGAGCTCTCCCGTGTGAGCTCTGGCCCAAGGCTCTAGGCCTTCCTCTGGCCTACAAGTGTCCCTACCCCTCACACGACGAGGGGGCTTCTGGGCCACCTGGCCCTTGTTCCAGGGCCCCCACGCTCCAACTAAAAATTGCCTGAACCACGATCCTTCTCTGACCCCTCTGGTCTCTCGTGCACCGCAAGTGCCCAGCAGCGAACCCGGCCAGGTTCCAGCCGTGCCTGCGTCCTCCTTGGTTGTGCGTACGTTCAGATCTGGGACTTCTCTCCTTGGGGCTCCGGGTCCCCATGGAGCAGGGCTGGCACCTGCTCTGGATGGCAGTGTCTGTCTGCATCTGTCTGCCCGGCTGGGGCAGCGGCCTGCCCAGAGGCGGGCATGAGGGCCAGGAGACCCCCAGAGAGCACAGAACCACACAGGCCAAGCTGGGTCAGTGGTGGCTTGGCTTAGAATCAAGATGACCAGTGGGCGGACGCCCAGATGTGTGAGGACATCTGGCAGCCTGGAGAGGGAAGGACTGGGTGTTGGCTTGGTGGGGAAATGGGGGGCAGGGGAGGAAAGGCAGAAACTGCCTGGTGGTTTCCAGAGAGGACAGGGACCACAAGCAGGGCTCTGGCACACTACAGTGACCAGGAAATCAGCCCCAGGATGGGGGTGGGGGAGCTGTTGGCAGGAGGGACAGGGACTTCCCCGCCCCCTCCACCGGCCTATGGTAAATGGTCATTGTGTTTGGTTTCCGGCAGTGGCCTCGTCTTCTGCCAGGACCCTGGTTTTCCTGCCCCAGCCAGAAGCTTCCCCTTTGATTCTAAACAGTGACCATGGCCTGGATCTGGTGCTGAGCTTCTCCCCCACCCCCCAGCAGAGCAGCATCAGGAGGGAGGGAGGGGGTGAGGGATCAGAGATGGGGGAGGGGAGGCGGAGAGAAGGCCAACCCCTGGGCAAGGGTCGGGCTCAGATCTGCCTCTCCCTTGAGTCCTCAGGGATGCACAGGGACAGAGAGGGAGGCAGGGAAGCCATGAGCCCCACCCTGGCCAGGAACCTGCCTGTCCGAGGGTCCCCTGCGAGCGCAAGGGCGGACCCTCTCGGCACACAAAGCCAGACCGGCTGCCAGACCTAATGAAAGTCGGATGAGTGCTCAGGCCTCCAGGGGTCCTGCTCCAGTCGCCAATGAAAACCAAAGCTCTGGGTGGCTGAGGGTCCCAGAACAACAGCAAGCTCGGGAGGGAAAGGCCGCCCAGGCCTGGGGTTCCCCCACCCAGAGCTCCCCACTCCGTGCCCCGGGCACAGAGACACGCTTTATCCTTGAGCAAATATGGACGTGTCCAGGCCGTCTCCGTGCTGGAGATGCACCAGGGCACAAGACCCAGGCCGCGAACGGCCCGAGCTCACAGCACACTGGGGCCTAGAGTAAGGAGGGGTGCTGGATGCCAAGGGGGCCCCAACCAGCACGGAGGCTCAGGAACTTCATTCGTAAGGCTCTGGCTTGGTCTTGATGTGCGGAACCCCTCAGCCCAGGGCTGGCCTTGGTCCAGGCCCCACGCCCAGGAAGAGCAGGGCGAGGGGGTCATCCCCAGATCCACTCTCTCTGCTCCAGTGGTCAGGTGCACAGTCGGACAGGTGGAGGAGGGTGCCAGCCCACCACCTGCATGACCCCATAACCTGCTGAACCCCACTGCACCGAGCACACCAGAAACAAGAGTCTCGATCCTCCCCTTGATACCCTGGCCTCTATCGGTAAAGGGCCTGTATCTCCTCTTCTGAATCCTCCCCAACCCTCACCAATTCATGGTGTCGGAATATTTTCTAATCAAGTAGAAAGGAGTCAGCCACCCCTCTGGGAATGAGAGGGCCTTGTCCCAACCTCCCTGCCTGGACACACAGCCTCCAAGGTGGGAGGCCTGCTTTCTCTCCACCTGACCCTTCCCCCATCCCCCCCACAAGCAGCCCTGAACATCAGATGTACTTCCGACCCCAAGGGTGGAAGGTCTGGAAGGCCACTGTGGTCCCAAACCAGCCCGGAGGGGCCCAGGAGTTTGATCCCCTAACCACCAGTTCAATACGGATTGCGGAGCCAGGCCTGTGCAAGCCAGGGCTGGCAGCACAGGTGGAGCAGGGCCCAGCCCTGGCTGTTGGGAAGACGTAAGCAGACAGTGACAGCCCGCGGAAACAGGTCTACCTGGACTGCAGGGGCACGTGGCTGGCACACCTGGGCACAGTGAGGGAAGGCATTGGGGCGGGGAGTGGGGCAGGGCTGCCGGTTCTGGTTCCTAAACAGCCAGGCCGGCTACCCTGGTGGCCTGCTCCCACCCTGTCCACCTTGCTGCCTGGGGGTTAGAGCAGCGGGGGGGGGGGGGGGGGGACCGCTGCAGAAGGACCCTCCTTCCGGACCGATCAGAGCTCTGGGCCCCCACCCCCCTTCGCTGGGCCACGGGGCGGGCCACCCCGGCTCGGCTCACCCACCTCCAAGCGCGGCAGGTCAGGGTCTAGCTGTGTGAAGCTGTGCAGCACCACCGGGCAGCTGTCGGGGCCGCCCACCTCCAGGCGCACCGCGTCCCACACGCTGCGGCTCCGCCGGGAGCCCGGAAACAGCGTCTCGGCGCCGGCCCCAGGCCCGGCCGCCTCGGTCCACATGCGCTGTACCATGGACGGCTCGCAGCGGCGCGGGCGGCCGGCCGAGCCGCGGGACCCGGGGCGGCACAGGCCCGCGCGGCTCGGCGCTGCCTGCGCTCTGTGCCCGCCGCGCCGCCCCGCTGAGGTCAGCCCAGGGGCCGGGCCTGCGGGCGGAGGGGCGGGGCTGGAGAGGCCGAGGGCGCTGAGTGCGCGCGCGCGCGCCAGCTGGCTGTTTGCGTCCTTCGGAGAAGGGGACCGTGGACACCGCGGTTAGGTAGCTCGTGTGGGTGCATGCGCTCGTGCAGCGTGTGTTGTGTAGGTGTTTGACTTGTGGACCTGCTGATGTACGGTCAAGAGGCCCTGAAGTCAGTGCCGCCTCCCACGAATTCCAGTTAAGCCCCTCCCCCGCTCTGTGGCCTTGGAAAAGTTGCTTAACCTCTCTGAGCCTCAGTTTCTTCATCGGAGAGGATCCCACTGGGTGGCCGATGGACAGCGCTCCACTGGTGCCTGAGCCTCACTGTGGGCTCCTGAATCTTGCAACCCTGGCCATGTCTCTGGTGTACACAGGAGTGCATTGGGGAGGCCTGAGTGGTGGAGGGGTGGGGGGAGAGGGGCCACGCTGAGGAAGGGCTGTCAGGGAGGAGAGGGGAGGACCAAGAGCAGGCCTCACGGGGGTTGAGGGATAGAGGCTTTAGAGTGTGAGGGGTCGGGAAGGACACACGCTGGAGCACCTGCCACTGGCCTGGTCAGCTGCGGCCACTGGTGGCTTGTGTCCTCAAGGCCTCAGGCACAGGTGAGGGTAGAAGTGAGGCTGCTGAGGGCTCGGGAGGAAGGAGGGCTAGGAAAGAGCCTTCTAGTCTTTCGAGAAACCAGTGGGGAGGAAAGAAGGATCCTGGAGGTGAACGACAGGGCCAAGGGAGTCTGCAGGTAGACGAGCGAACACACACCTAACCCCATGCTGGGGCCTCAGGCCTCAACCCTTGCCGAGGCCCGTGACCACTATCAGCAGCCCTGCCAGTGCCCAGACTGGTCCCCTGCCATCGGGCCTCAGTTTCCCGCCTGTAACATGAGAGGGCAGGACCGCTCCGCACAGGCCACAAGCAGGTGTTGTGCACCCAACACACGCCAAGCCTCAGGTGTTCCCGGAGAGTGGGGCCCCAGCAAGCTCCCACCCACCTGCGTGCCCACCTGGTGGCCGGGGGCTGTGGCAGGGGTGGGGAGGGGTTGTTAGGAAACAATTTGTCGGTTTCTATTTCAGATGTTAAAGAACGCTGTGCCCCTTGAGTCGGCAACCCCACCGTTAGGAATTCGCCCTCGGTGGCAATCCAAGGGGAGGATGTGCGATTCTATAGGAGCCTGTTTACAGAAACCGCGGTTACAAGGCTGTCCTCACTGTTAGTGACAGGGGCTGCGATTCACAGGGCGCTGTCCCTTATAATCCCTACTCCCCTAATCTGGGGTAGATCCCTTACCAAGGGCGGGGCCAGCCCAAAACAGAGGGGACTCAGACCCCTTGTGCCTGCCGCCTGACGGAAGACACAGAGGTGTTCCTGCTCCAAACCGGACGCAAACCCAACCAGGCCTCCACACGTAACCCCGTTTGGGGGAATAACAGGGACCAGAGGGACGCACTCAACATGTCACCAGGGTGCAACCCAGGCCCCTTGAGACTTCACAGGACAAGCCAGCCAGTTTCTGCAACGGAGACATTTCAGGGCAAAAAGTAAAGCAGGAACTACAGACTGAAAGGAAGGTGAGAGGCAGCAACCAGATGCAATGTGTGGGTTTTAACAGGGCACCTGTTAAAAAGGCGAAACAAAACAAAAAAACCTCAGGGACAATTAGGATCATGTGTACATTACTGGACGGGGGATGATGTTTGACGTCACTGTTGGGTGTGATCACAGGACCAGGCTTGCGATCAGAGGAACACACCAAATCTGCATACACACGGTCCGCTGGGCAGGGGAGGAGACGGAGGACGTGGGCAGTCAGAGGGGACACGGGGTGGCTGTCACTGAGATCACTGAGCAGGGGGCTCCTTCTGCTCTCTTCTCCACTTTCCTGTCTATTGGGGACTTCGTACAACAGAAGTTAACACACACATACACAGTTGGAGACTTGCCCTCGGAGGCCCCTGAGGCCCCCAGAAACCATCGAGGAGAAGCAATGATCTCCAGACCCCGGCCGTGGCAGTGACCTTGGGCCAGCTTCCCCCTTTCCCGTGCTCCATGCCCAGGGCCACCTGCAGCAGCCTTACAACAGAAGGGGCTGGGGACTTCGAGTTGGGGGCCTAGGCAGTGGGCACCTGGGAGACCACGTCTGCATAGCTCAGATGGTGCTGGAGGTACCCAGGGAGCCTGAACAAGCCTGAAGTTCAAGGCAATGGTAACTGCACTCTTGGAGGGTCTGCTGGGAGGAAGAGAGCACGGTGCACTGTAGGGTGCACGGGGTTATTGTAAATCGGGGTCACTCCTTCCCCCTCATCCTGCTCACAGTGCATCCAGCCCCCAAAGGTCCCAGGTTCCCACCCTTTCCCTGTGGAGTGCACCTGCCCTTCCTTGGGGGTCACAGCAGCCCCCCCACTACACCACCATGCTGTCTAGACCGGTCCACAGTCGGGATACTCCTCACACAGGATGCTAAAGAGGCAGGCAGCAAGCGGACAGCCGGGAACGAGACCAGGCCAAAGCCAGCCCACTCGTGCTTGTTTGGCTTGCAAAGCGTTTTTCGATTTTTGAGCCAACAGTGAAGTCAGGTGATTTCACATAAAAACCCACATTTCTGGCTTCTCCTGTAACTTTGGTGACCTGGCCACACGAGGTCTGTGTTCCCATGAGCAACAGGACACTGGGAGGGAGCTGACAGGCGGCCGTCCCCTCTGGCCGTCCCTCGTCCCTTCCGGGCCAGGCGTGTCTGGGTTTGCCCCAGGCCCCACTGGGCCTTCCATCCTCCCGGCTCAGAGCCAGCTCCAGTTTAAGGGAAAGGTATGCTCAGGCCAAACCTGGGCCCCTTTTCCTTCCCATGGTCATCTGACCATGGTCCCCTGACCCACGGCCACCAGAGAGGTCTTGACCCCTTCAAAAGCTCCCCGGCCAGTCCCTGCATGCCCTCAGGGGAAAAGACCAACTGGTGGGGGGCAGGGAGGCAGCCCCAGCAGCATCCCTGGGTCTCTGGCCACGCCCAGCCAGGCTGGCGCAGAACCGCACAACCGCAGCGTCCCCTTCCCCAGGCCCCCGGCTACCGCCTCCTCTGCCTGGCCCTTCCTTCCCGCCTCCCACCCACCCACCCCTGTACTGGGTACCTGAGAGGTGAATCATGGGGCCCCAGGGGTGGCTCTGGGGAGGTCTGTCAGGCACACAATGGGCCAGAGCAAGAACAGGGCTCAGGGCAATGTCTGGGTCACCACAGGTCTTGGCTGTCGCGTCCCCCAGCCTGGGCTCGGCCAAGGCCACAGAGGAAGCAGGTGGCCCAGTGAGGACAGGGAGCCACGTAGCCAGGCTCGGGTCAGGCCTGAGAGGAAGAGCTTTCCCTGCTCTCTGGGGTGGCGGCAGTCACCTGTCTGTCTGCCCTCTGTGGTCTGTCTTTGGAGCTCAGGGAGGACACAGAGGGTGTGGCCTGGCCACGAAGACGTCACCATTCCCGGACTGCCCAGGTCCTGGGGTGGCCCCCTGTGGGCGGATGAGCACACACCTTGGCAGGAGGCGGCATACCTGGGCCCTGCGTGGGAGCTCCGGGAACCATGGGTGGGCCTGGCTCAGCCCCGCCTCCTCTGCTGCTGCTTTCTGGGAACCTCAGGGCCTACTCTTCCTCCGAGGAAGGAGGGATCCCCACAGGCAGGAGGCAGAGCCCGGAGGGGGTCAGGGGGTAGGAAACGCAGCCTCCAAACCACTGTCCTGGGTGGAGGATGTGACATCACTGTCACCCTGGATCTTTGACCTCACGGGGTGTCGCTGCCCCGGGACAATATGTCAAGGCCTGGGGCCAGGCCCTGCCCACCAGTGGGGTGCAGATCAGAGCCCACTGGGGGCCTTCCAGCCCCTCGGGTGTTGACGGAGACCCCCATGGGGCAAACACACAGTATGGGGTCACCGTGACAAATGCTGCCTTCGGAGTGGGAACCAGGCTGCCCTGACAACTGCCCCCCCCAAGTGATGACACGGCAGCACACACTGACACTGGACACCTCTGAAGCCACCAATCCAACAGGTGACAGCATAAGGTAGAAGGCAGGAGAGGGGAGAGGAAGGGAAGCAGAGGGGACACGAACAGAAATAGAGACCGAGACCCCGCTGCAGAGCCCAGAGCTCAGGGGACAGACAGGAGCACGGCGAGAAAGGAGACAGAGACGGCAGCGGAGGGGTCCCCATCCCTCGCAGGGCCTGAGCTGCAGGGCACTGGGCCCATGGCGCTGGGGAGGGACCGATGGCCGGGCAGGACGCAGCCGTGTCCCACAGCAGTGCTGTGTGGTCAGCCAGCAGCCGCTGGAAGTCACAGCCAACAGTCACAACACCACGGGCCCCGCAGTCACCCTGTCCCCGCAGCGCCGTTGGGGACACTGACCCGCAACACTGGGAGCTCAGGCGTTCGCTCAGGTCCTGCTCTGCACCTTCCCTGCCTCAGTCTCACCTCCCTGAGCCTCGGTATGTCCACCAGCAACATGGGGACAGCAACTACGGGTGGTGACAGCGGTGAGGCCACCACCTGTCTCTCAGGGCTGTCAGGACAGCAGATGCTAAGATACAGCACAAAGGCCCTTGGAATCCAAGAAGCGCCGTCCGTCTGAACAGGAGGCATGAGGACAGCACGGGGCCACCCACTGGCCGGGCGCAGGCAGACAGGCCCGCGGGTGGGCGCCCTCCTCTCACACCCGAGCAGTGGAAGGAGGCTGCCCCGAGGCGGCTTCCCACCAGACTCCCTCAACCAGTTCCCATGGGAGGGGGGGCCACCCACCTCTCCCAGAGGCACCGGGTGCCTGGGAAACTCACCTCGGTGGCCGGGGTGAGCACAGGCGTTGGCCACGGCGTGGGGCTCCGGGTGGTGGGACTGGGACGGCGGGCGATGGCCCACCTCCTGGCGGTCACCACAGAGACACAGGCAAGGAACACCCAGCCCTTCCTGCCCCTGG